CTATTTTTTGTTGTAGTTGTCATCATTGTTGTCAGCTGGCTTGGGCCGAGTTTGAACCCGCCAGCCTCAGTATATGTGGCTGGCACCGTAACCACTGTGCTACAGGCACTGAGCCTATTCCCGTTATCTTTGTCCATTTTGTATGGCTGTAACAAAACACCACAGACTGGATAATTTATAAAGAAAAGAAATTTATTTGGTTTCTCAAGGCTGGGAAGTCAAAGAACATGCCAGCATCTGGTGAGGGTCATCCCATGGTGTGTATTTAGAAGAGTGGGAGAGCACATGTAAGAGAGACTTGCTTTTATAACAAAGCCACTCCCACGCTAACTGACCCACTCTTGCAGTGATGGCATATAGATTGAATATCCCTAATCCCAAAATCTGAAATCCAAAGTGCTCCCAAATCTGAAACTTCTTGAGCACCAGCATGATGCTCAAAGGCAGTACAAATTGGAGCATTTTGGGTTTGGGATTTTCAGATTCAGTATCCTCAGCCAGTTGGTATAATGTAAATATTTCAAAATCTGAAATTGGAAACACTTCTGGTTCTAGACATTTCGGATAAGGGATACTCAACCTATAATTCACTCATGGGGGCTTTACCTCCCAAAGGCTCTCTCTCTCACCACCCCACGATGGCATCCATGTTTCCAGCACATGACTGAGGGACACATTCAAACTATCTCATCCTCCTTTTGGCCCCTACCTGATCCCTTAGTTACTATCCCTGTTGTGTATGTTCAGTCTCTTCCTCTAATCTTAAGTTCACACTTTGACCAGACAAGGATCTTCAAGTCTAACAACTCTAAAATAACTTTTTCAAGTTTGAATCCCTCTCTGTTGCCAAAACTTTGTTATTGTTGTTGTTTTTGCTACAATGATTGCCTTTATTTTCTTAATTTTTATTTTCCCGTCCATGATTTATAATTTTCATTGTTTTTTGTAAAAAGCTTGGTGGTCTTCCCATTGCCAAATTCACTGGCTTTTTAGCTCTCACACTGGCTTACTGTTAACTGTTGATGACACCTTTTTTAATTATGCTCCTCTTTTGGCTTCTCTGTTATATTTTTTTCTGGGTTTTCTTCCCTCTTCCCTATTCTTTTAATGTTTTTTGCTAATTTTCTCCCATCACCTGATGCTTAAACTTAGGAGTTATTTATATTTCTCTCCTTGGTCGTCATCTCACTCTGTATTTTTCCCTACACAGCTGTTTATATTACATGAATGACCAAACAAGTCCATGTTGTTCATATTTTC